CCTGTAGGAAAAGAAACACAGGAGGTGAGACACACCACAAAGAAAACCCCACTCCTGCCTTTTCGCCTCGGTCTTGTGCTGCTTACCCCCCAGCACAGCCATTGTCTCCCCCAGGAAGGTGCATCCACTGCCCTGAACTTCCTGTTGCTTACTCAGACCTGACCATGGGTCCCAGCACCCACCTGCCAGTGGCAGAATCCAATGGACAAGTAACCTGGGTAACAATCACCTTGCATTTGTTTGCAGTGCTCACCCCAGCCACCCGACCTGCCAAGAACAGCCCCAGGCAGTCACGGCCAGAAACGTGCTTGCAGCACTAAACCAGTTTGCTCCATCCACGGGTAAAGCAGAGATCCCAGTAGAGATCTCCCCCCAGCACCAGCTCCTGCACTGCAATGGGAACCCTCACTGGTGCCTCCTGCCCAGCTACAAGCATTGCACAAGGCAAGTGTTTGCTGCTGCTGCTGCTGGGACAGCCGTGCCTCTGGCAAAGGAGGGAACAAGCAACCGGGAAAGTCATAGCACAAGTTGTGACCAGCTCAGATGTGGCTGCATCTCCCAGGGGGGCTTCTCTTTGTGTCACACTGGAGCTCCCTGCCTTGGAGGCTGGGGCAGCCTGACCTCTGTGGGCAGAGTGCCTGCAGCACCCCCCAAGCAAAGTCTCCCCCTCTGACAGCCCTGGACCCCTGAGGCAGCCCGGCAGCATACAGGAAAAGGCTGGGGTTTCATGCTCATAAAAAGCCTGGTTGTTACTGCAAGCAGGGAGGGGGACAGGGCAGGAGGTGGATGCTGCCTTCCCGCATCTGGGGCCAGGAGACCAGAGGCAGAGCCTGGCCATCTCCACCCAGGAGTGCAGCCCAGGGCTGTGACCACAGAGGGTGAGGACCGCAGGGATGAGGAAGTCTGTCTGCCCCAGCCAAGTCCTCCCCTTAAAAGGGCAAAACCCGCAAACTGTCCCCACATCTCAGGGCTGGAGCTGGGAGGGGACAGAAGCTTGGCCGTGACAGGGTGCAGCATCAGTCATGCCACCATCACCAGCTCCAGCAAGCCCTTGGTTCCTCCTCCTGGCTCCAAAGCCACTCTCTTCGGGGAGCGGCTCACAACAGTGGGCAGAGGAAGGGCTGGGATCAGGAGGAGACATGGGAAAGTAGGAGATACTTGTCGAAAATAGATCATATAAGAGCCATGGGCAGAGCAGCCCATGAGCAGAAGCCGCTGAGGCCGCTATGAACAGCTCCAGACCTTCCCAGGAGGGGAGTCCCACAAAAGGGCTCCTCAGACACTGAACCCACCCCAGAAACCCTGGCTACGCCGAGGACATCACTACATGCTGGGGGTCGGCTTTGGCCACCAGGACCTGAGGACTTGGAGCTACTGCAGGAGCAGAACAGGCTCCTCTTCCTCCAGGTCAGGAGGTGAAGGTTGCCCCTCGCTGCCTGTCCATGGGGCTCATCGGGGCGCAGTGGCACCACTCACCTCCCAGAAGCTGTCCAGGACCCAGCTCCCTACATTCACCTCATGGCAAGCCTGGGAGGCAGTGTGGCCCCTGCAGCCCTGGCCAGAGGGGAGCAGGGCAAGAGGTACCATGGCAGGAGCAGGTCCCACAGGGAGCAGCAGCCAAGGCAGGGCATAGATCTGATCCCTGCTCTGCTCAGCACAGATGAGCTCAGAGCTGTCCAGAGAGTTTTTAGAAACCAAAACAGGATGTTTCCAGGCTGCCAGCCGGCCACACAGGGTTACCAGGCCTGAATTAGGCAGCCCGCCGCCCAGCCCAGCCCTCCTACGAGTGCTCCCATCTGGGCATTGTCTTTTAATAGATGCGTGGAAACAAACCCATCAAGGCCAAGTGAGAGCAGCGGGGCTGGGAACATGCTCCTAAAATAGGAGTGGGGAGAAAACAAGGCAGAGCACAAATGGGAGCAGCCTCTCACAGCCATGCCAGCGGGACAAAACAGGGCTTGGGGAGAGCAGCCCATTACCCAGGCAGCTGACAAGACCCCTGCTGTGCACCATCGCCTGGGGACCAGGGGTGGCTGCCCCATCGTGTGCTCTGCCCCTGGGCTGAGGCAGAGGGAGCAGGGCAAAGAAGAAAGTGGTGTCAGCCAGGAAGACATCAACCTTTTGGCTCCCCACCTTCTGCCAAGGCAGAGCCCCTATGCCAGGGTGGCTGATGTGGAGTCTGGGCATGAAACCCAGGAATGGCCACTTCATCCTGCTGCACGGCCAGAAGGTCCCAACATGAGATACCAGCAGAGGTGACTGCACCAGTCTCAGTCTCTTTCAGCATACCAGATCCCAAACTGCAGCTGAAGATGAGGGAGGGCATTGCACAGAGCCAGGAGCTGGTGATGGCTGCAGAGAATCAGGCACAACCACCAGGAAACACAAGTGGGAGAGCCCCAGCACCACGTGGGCTACAAAAACACAGAGCTGAGAAATTCCCCCTGTGCCTGCAAAATAGCCACATCCCCAGCACCCAGCCCTCACTCCTGCAGTGCTCAGAGCAGAGATGGCACCAGTGTAGCACCACCCCGGAGCTGGGGCAGCCAGGGTGGTGCAGCCCCCACTGCACCTCGCACCACTGCAGCAGGATGTGCACCCGAAGAGGTGCCTGGCTCCGAAATGCTGTTTATTCCTGCTACCACCCACTTCCAGTTGACCCAAGAGCCATCTCCCAGCTTGTTCCCCAAGGCCCCAAGCAGACCCCTGCAGCAGCAGGCAGCACACCCACCATGCAGACCAACTGCCTTCCCTCTGCCTGTGCCAGGGCTGCAACTGGTGACCGCAGCCTTTTGCTGTTGCTGTGTCACACCAGAAGCCACGTGCCTGAGGACATGTCCACACATGGGGCTTTGCAGAGCAACGGGTCCCACGAAGGGAAATACTTCATCTGAGGGAGCCAGAGGAGTGTCTTCCACCAGCCCTCAGGGATGCTCATGCCCATCACTAGACGAGAGGTGACTTTTGGACATCACACGAGCACAGAAAGCAAAGGATGCTTCACTGGAGAAATCACTTGGAGCTTGCACGAGCTCATGACAGGTGACAGCAGTTCCTCACAGCCAAGCCTGGACAGTAACACCAACATGATTCACCAGCTGCAGCCTCTCCACGGGGTGAGCAGCAAACCAGGCTACTTCATTCCCTGCTATCAGGAAAGGCCCCTCTGGCCACCAAAAGACAAACTGGAGATTGTGGCAACTCTCTTGGCACCCATGGCACCAGCTCTCAGCTGGGGACCTCTGGGCTCTGTTTTCTCTCTGCACAGAAGGCTGTGGAATTTCACACCCCATCACCAAGATTAGCAGCAAATCCCAAGATGACATTTGTTCAGGAGAAGAAAGAGAAGTCCTGACCAAGCAGTTTCCCTTGAGGGGACAGTGTAGAAATAGCTGAGGAGCAAAGAATGACCCTTTTCTTTCCATCCTGCCAGTGAGCAAGTTTGCCAGCATCCATCACCAAGCCCATGAAAATAAACATGGCTCTGTGTATAAACAGAGCAAACATTAAACAGCATTCCCAAGCACAAAGGACCCGTCCTTTGCTCTGGAGAAGACAGCTGTCTCCACGGTGGGTACATACAGCAGCACTGCTCTGCCCCATGTAGCAGTACTAGTGGAGCTCTGTCCAGAACAAGGCTTAATTCAGGCCAGCATAGGATGAATTGAAAACTTACTTGGCAGTCTGTGCCAAAGCAGCCATGGGATTTTTAATAATTGCAAGCACACCTGGACAGTCCCTGAAGGTCCCCTGCAGAAGCACTGGCCAGACCTCACCACACTTATCTCACACTCTCACAGGTCGAGAGGACACCAAAAGCAGGAACTACTTATAGACCATCTGAAAGCAGTTGGGAATCAGGAGCAAGCAGTCATCAAGCAGAGCCTCCCAGACTACAACTTCCTGACAGGTTTTCTAGCACCTATTGATAGCTGCTAAGTGGCTGCAAAGTCCAGCTCCTTTGAGGACACTGAGCACTCTCTCACCCCTTAGAAGGCTTTAAC